GGGGGGGGGTGTACTCTAAAATTAAAAGTGACCTATGAATCACCGATCCGCGTTTTAACCTTGGTTTTAACATATAACCTAGTGTGGGAAATATGGTTTTAAAGAAAAAGTGACCTCTGGGAATCAGCATTATGCCAAAAAAGTCGAACGAATCAGCATTATCCAGGTGTTTGGCGGACGGCTGATTTTTTTCCCAAACCTTAATAGTTAATTTACATGAAGTACATTCGTGGTATTTTTGCGCCATTGCGATATTGGATTTCCTTTCCGAAGGCATTCGACTTTGGAATTGTTCTGCCTTTTTACATATTTTACTTAAAATTGACGGTTTGTGTTGCTTTGATATATCTGGATGGCAGGCTGTTTAATACCGCATACTCCAATAGCGGTTGATCATTGGAGAAAACGGGATATAAGATCAAAAGTATGTTTTCTGTCGCACATGCATACCGACCACACACAGGGACTTACTTCTTCGTGGGATCAAGTGATTTTTTGCTCGGAAATTACTCGCAGTTTGGCAATTGAACAATTGAAGATTCAGCCTTCACTGCTGGTCGCAATCCCTGTTGGACAAAGCACTATTATTCCTTTGGACAATGCAGGTATGAAACCACAATCACAGGGCCATGTTCCCTGCTGACACTCTATTTGTGCAGGGAAGCGAAGGGGAAGAGACCTCTGCCTAGATCTGACATGTTTTCTGTGGCGCATGTGTGAAAATTGCCATCACAACGAGTGATGTTTACTACGTGATATCAAACCGGTTTTTGCGGTTTGATATCAAAGATTTACCTTACCCAGTTACAATTGTAACCAGGGTCTTAGCCAGCCTACCGTCCAGCCGTCTTTTGGACGGCCATTTTCAAATTTGGTTGGCCTTCTAAAAAAGACGGCTTTTGGACGGTTTGCTATCATGGTGACGCCTTTTGGACGGCTAGGTAAAAGCTGCAGAGTACCTTTAGTACCTTTTAGTACCAATAAAATATTATATTTATAAATTATGTATTTGCGTTTCGTTCGCTGAGTAGAAACGGCTTAGTAAATATGTAATTTTGTAATCCGAGTATAAACATGCACCGCTAGTGACACCTACAGTATGCAAATTTTATTGACCTTCCAGGAAATAGAAAACGAAATTTCAAATTTGGACACCCAAGTTGCAAATCCTGGCTAAGACCCTGATTGTAACGTGTTACTGTGTACTCGTTACATTTGAAGTAATTTTAACCTGTAATTAATTACGTTTTTAGAAATGTAACGAAAAAGTAATTAATTACAAAAGCAAGGAATGTGTTCCTTTTCCAAGCAGCAAATTGAAAATTCCTTTTCTTATTCTGTTAAAAATAAGAAATAAAAAATACAACGTTATGACAAAAATTCAGAAAAATGGCTGAAATAATTTTCAACAAGATCACATGACATGATAGCCTACATGAAGTACTATTTATTGCGAAAGTGGAACCACAATTTGTTCCGAGACTCAGAGCGCCAAATATTAGCAAATAAAGTTTTAAGTTTACATGATTTGATTTGCATGTCAAATGTTTTAATATTTAACAAATATAAAACATTTTCCATGTTGATATACAGTTATATCAACACAAGTGGAAATTGGGAAAATGAGAAATTGTGTGGAAATACGATGCCCGAAGGGCGGAGTGTTTTCACACAATTTTCGAGTTTTCCCAATTTCCACGAGTGTTGATATAACTATATATCAATACGGAAAAAATGTTTTCATGAGAGGCGTATTTTATGAAGCATTATTTCCCTACTACTAGGGGTGCACCGGATTTCAAATCCGGCCGGAATTCCGGCTGGATTTAACGAATTTTCTGGTATCCGGCTGGATTTGGAGAAAATCCGGCCGGATTTAAATTTCTGTTTTCACCTAAAAAATTCACCAAGAATGGGATAAACCATCAATTTGGCAGCTTTAGAGTTTAAAAAACACTTATATTATTATAAAATATTAGAGATTAAGTAGTAGAGTAGTCGAGTAGTAGAGTAGAGTAGTTGGGTAGTTGGATAGTAGAGTAGTAGAGTAGTTGGGTAGTAGCGTAGTTGGGTAGTAGAGTAGTTGGGTAGTAGAGTAGTTGGGTAGTAGAGTAGTTGGGTAGTTGGATAGTAGAGTAGTAGAGTAGTAGAGTAGAGTAGTAGAGTAGAGTAGTTGGGTAGTAGAGTAGTTGGGTAGTAGAGTAGTTGGGTAGTTGGATAGTAGAGTAGTAGGGTAGTAGGGTAGTTGAGTAGTTGGGTAGTAGAGTAGAGTAGTTGGGTAGTAGAGTAGTTGGGTAGTTGGATAGTAGAGTAGTAGAGTAGTTGGGTAGTAGAGTAGTTGGGTAGTAGAGTAGTTGGGTAGTAGAGTAGTTGGATAGTAGAGTAGTAGAGTAG